ATGACAAATACCTCATTTTATACGCCAAAATTAGAAACTATTGATTTGATGACTAATTAATGAGTGGGTGACCAACTCTTGACTTAGTAAAAATCCTTATCTTCTTATCTGAACAAAATATCATTTCTAACATCAGAATTGGAACCAACTATCCTCATGAAAGTTATAGGAAAGTTTCTTATCTTTCTAGGAAAAATAATTTAGGTCATTTAGACTTCTAGAACTCGAGATATAAGTTGAACACTGAATAGTGTTTGGGTTGTAGGATAGATTCAGACTTTTTTTGTTTTTGCTATAATTTGGACTTGAAAATGGACTTTTTAAAACCAAACCTCCACATGAAAGTTGTAGGCCTATATCTTACCTTTCCATCTATATAAAGTGGACTTAAATCCGAGATCTACAGCTCTAGATATGACCTAAATACTGAACAGTGTTTTAGGTTAGACTACACCAACATTTCTTTTCTAAGTTTGGCCATCTCTTTGTCCTCTCAATTTTAGTACTTAAACTCATCAATCAATCCTTTTATTTATGTGAGAGACCTGCATTTAAGATGAATATTTACCATAAATTAAAGGTATCTTATATTATTAGATATGTTATTATAAAACATGCTTTAGTTAAGGAGTTAATGATACTTCAAGTGCAAAATAATGATATAAAACCTTGATAAAAATATACTTTTAAGTATTAATCATACTCTTTAACCAGCTTATTACTTGTCCTTAGTAATCAAAGTGTTAAAATAGAAAAATAATTTGTAAATTCCACAAAGCAATGCATTCATCATTCAACTTCCATTAATCTATCTAGATAAACAAGCTCTCATTAAATTTATATATGGGTCAAACACTGAACAGTGTTTGGGCAGCAGAACAGATACGGACTTCTTCATTGTTGCTACAATTTGACTTGAAAACTGCTTTTTTAAATCTTAAGCTCCAAATAAAAGTTATAGGCCTATGTTTTACCTTTCTATCCATATAAAGTAGACCTAAATCCGAGATCTACACCCCAAACACTATTTAGTGTTCAGCTTATATTTCGAGCTCTAGAAGTCCAAATGACCTCAATGGTTTTTTCCTAGAAAGATAAGACAATTTTTTACAACTTTCATGGGTATAATTGGTTCCAATTATGATGTTAGCAATGATGTTTTGTTCAAATAAGAAGATAAGGATTTTTCCAAAGTCAAAAGTTAGCCACCTACTCATCAAGTAGTCATCAAATCAATAGTTCTCAATTTTGGCCTATAAAAAGAGGTATTTTCCATGCATTTAGGCATTTTGGTTTTCAGATAAAAATTACTCTTTTGCTTTCTCTCTTTATATTTTTGTAATGCTTAAGTTTTGCTTTCATTAGTATCGTGTTTATGCCTTTCATTTCATTTCCTTTACTTAGTTAACTTTTATTTTATTTATGTTTCTCTTCTTCATTATAGTTACCTAAGTTTATTATGTCAAGATGAAAAAGTTACACTAATGGTATAAGAATAAATATGGTATAAACTCAACATAGACTTTAATGTTTGATACTAACATATTTTGTATTTGTTATCTTGTTCACTTTTAATACTTTTTTGTTAAATGGTTAATCTAGATTTATATTGTATAACTCTTGGGACAACAAATACTCGGCACTTTCATAGCTCAACTATATGGTATAACCAACACCTAAGCTATGAAAGGAACTTAATTTTTTATTAATATAAGTTATAATCATGAATTCTTGATAATATTTATAAGTATTAGTATTATTCGAATAAGATAACTAATATAATCATATTAACAATTTATAATCTGATTAGAACCTTCTTTGGGTGTGGTTTCCAGTTGAGTAATAAATAAAATTTATACTATACTTGTTTGGAGTAATAAATAAAATTTATACTATACTTATTTGAATACTATTAGTGGATCTTCTAACCTTGACAGTTGTTTTTATCCTTATTTGATCTTTATATTAATCTCACATCTCAAAGTCTTTTTTAACTCATCATCAACATCATTATTTATAATTTATATAGTTAACCTCCCTGTGGTTTGACTCCGATCTTGTCAGGTTATTTATTATTTTGACACTCCTGGACTTGAGAGAAAACATCAATCTTTTGGTCGTGTCAGGTATCATTATGTTTTGGGTTTAAGCTCTTTCACAAAGCATAGAAAATATGAACTAATGAATTATATAAAAGGATAAACATAACATGTTATTTATTACAACATTTTTTTTAATTCAAATATTTCATTGACATCTTACTATATATAAAATAGCTTATTTAAAAATATACAACCATTAAGATGTTAGATTACATCTTTAAAATCAAAATTCACTTTAAAGATCTATTTTCAAACTTTTTTGTGAATATAATTAAAATACAATATAATTTTATATTAAATATAATTTAAAAAAAAAAATTAGTATGACTCTTCATATAAAACAAAAAATGTAAATAACGTTTAGTTGTAATAAAATATAAATAAGTATATGCATAAGTGACAATACAAAAAGTGAGATAAATATTAATTTAGAAAAAAAAAACAAATATATCTTCCACACATAAGTGCCCAAACTTATCTAAAATCATGATATTTAATATGTTTCAATGAACTCAAATCTAAATCCATCAATTTTGTTCCATATAATGAAAAAAATAATTTAAGCAGAATTGAGCTAAAAAACTATTAAATAATGTATAAAATCCAAATTACAACTTATAATTAGACTTAAAACCCATAGATAAAATGTCTATATGAAAAGACATAAATTAAACCTAACAATTAACTCAAATTAAATCCAATATCATGGGCATAAATATGCTCAATTCCTTAAATAAAGAGTGGTTAGTTGAGCTCTCCTCTGTCATCTCTTTTGAGATTAAAGAAACTCAATTTGTTGAGTGTAACTTCAAATAACTTTAATTGTAATCTTGGAAATCAAGATCTGTTGGAACATATTTCTAGTAATCTAAGTCTAGTTTAAATTTTATATCAGGTCATTCTTCCCCATAAATAAGTAATCATTGAGCCTTTTCATTCCTAATAAAAATAACTTGTTTAACTAATATATCGTCAATATATTTATTTTGTGCTGACGATAAGGAAATGGGGGAGGTGTTTCAAGAGAGTTATGAGGAATGGAACATGAATCTAAAATAATTAAGAGAACAAAGTAAACGATCTTAGCTGGCTAAAGCTGTGAAAACTTTTTTATACTTGAATTTTTATGTAAACAATTATGAAATGAATCATTTATTTTTTTATGTAAACAATCATCATGTTCTTCGGACTACACGAAGCATACAAAACAAGAGAACCTTTTATTGGTTTGTCATCAGTAAATTAATGAGTTTCAAAGTTGTATTTTACCCTGAAAATCCCATCCCGACAATCAACATATGACACAAGAATTTGGCCTCTCCTCAGAGGTACTTGCCATATGACCATATATAGAATCACCTTCGCTTTCGTAAAGTAGCTTCTTAATCTTAGCTTTCTTTTTTTGTTCATCAAGCTCTGCTTTCTGTCTTTCATCAGCTGTGTAAGCAGGCTCTTCTTTCTTGCCATTCTCTTTCTCCTCCTCTTTTTCTGGCACGATAGTCAAAATATCCACGTTCCAATCTTTCCTTAATTCATTTACAACAGCAACAGGATCAGCATCACCATTTACCGTCATGTCCATGGAAATGGAGTCGCTACCTGCACATGCAATATTAGGCGTGAGATAGGGTTCGATGTTTTCAAAAAATCTTAAAATGATTCTGTCTTGCATTGACGTGGTTAACTCCCTCAAACCATAACCTGAGCCTTAGGTCGAGTCATGGCCAGGTAGGCTGGGTTTGGGTCTTCTAGCTATGATCTTATTGAGAATTACGTATCTCATTTGCCATCAACAAGCAACATGGACATAGATTAGTTTCACGGCCTTTTGATCCTCCTAAAACCTCCTAAATTTCTACAATTTTCTGATCACCTGAAAAGCTCGAAACCCGTTTCACAGCCTTCTGCTTTCCCTCCTCATCGTGCACGTCCAATTTGAGAAACACCTTCTGCAAAAGAGAGTAAAGGTTACAAACAGGAAACATCCTGATTTTCCATGAAAAAAATCACACCAACTGCAGACAAGGACCTAGTTTTCCGAAAAGCAATGTGAAAAGTCCAAGCACACTTCCTTCAAAGAAATTATGCGCAGCTACAAAGTTACATGAGCTAAGAAATCAAGAAAGCTCGACAAGATGCTTGATTTCCTTGGCCATACATATACAGGGGTGGTACTAAAATAAGAGTTAGTCTAGTCTTTCTCCTTAGGTATGTGTTCTGAAGCTCCCTTTGAATTTGGGGTGTAAAGAAACTTATAAATTAATTTTGAAACTTTTCCCATGATTATTAACGCGTGCCTAGACCACATCACAGAGTTTCTCTACAATATTTACAGAAAATATATAGCAGAACCATATTATATATAAATTCCAGAGAGTAAATTGACACTCTGAGCCAAGTAGTCCCAAAAAATCACAAGATGAGATCGATGTTTTTTTTATATACAAGAACCAAGAAATTAGTCAAATGAAAGCGTGGTAATGGCCAAGTTTTTCCAAGAAACAGATACTAGAGGGAAAACTCACCTTCATTCTCACTTGGGTATGGAAACTGTGACCTTGACTTGAATCGAAAGCTGTCAGTTAATCAGAAAGAGTCAATGAAAACGATAAGTTAAGAAATACGCACGCTCAGTTGAGGAGGTGAGGCTTTTTCATAGTGAGCAATTGTGCAGGTCAAACAAACAGATTTACCTGGACAATACTACGAAAAAATCGATCTGGAAGCCGATTGAAGTCGTAGACTTGGAACTTACAAGCCGTCCGCCCACCTGAGTTTCCTTAGCATAGGGTTTCTGTATATAGTTTGCCTTCTTTCATTGACTTTGATTTGAGTCTTTCTTTACATGTATTGAAAACGAGCTTTAGCACTTTCGTGCTTTCAACAACTTGTTAATACGAACGTGTCCTCCAACCAAATCATTTTCTCCCTTCATCCAAATGATTTTATATTACCTTCAAATCTGAATATATGTAATGGATTTTATTTTAATAGATTCGGATATTATATTTAAAAAGTTGACTCAAGATATATTCATAAAGTTAAAATTCACTCTTTTGCAATTACAATTAAAATACAATATTATTTCACTGGTTTCATTTTCTGCGCTACGCGGTGGAATGGAGGGCTTTTTTTTTCCAATGCCAAGACAAAAGTGCAGTATTGTTAATGTTGCTTTTATCATAAAATGATTTAATTACAAATTTAAAAAGTTTATATGTGTGTTTAAAAAAATAAATTGAGAATTGTATGTATAAATAAATTATAATAAATATGTCGATTACAACCAAATATTAAATCAGAAGTTAAGATAAAGATGTTATTGTTGAAACAATTCAATTAACACAAAATAAATATGAATATTAAAGAAAATAACACTAGAATTCTTCTTAATTGATTTGTAAAAAGTACATTATTTAACATAAATACAAAGAGCTTATATATATATTAAGCTAAAAATATTATTCTACCCTTAATAAATAAAACAAGATAAATGTATTATTTAATATTTCCCCTCAAACTCACGATGCGACAACTACAAGCATCGAGAGTTTGCCATCTAGAAAACAAAAACAAGAAATGAAATGTGACTTAGTAAAGAAATATGCAATCTACAAGGAAGAAGAAACAAAAGGCAAAGTAATGGTGGCATGCTTGAGATGATGATGAGTAAGATGACAATCAATCTCAATGTGCTTAGTTCGTTCATGAAAAACTGAGTTGTGAGCAATCTGAACAGAACTCTAATTGTCACAATCCATATGAGTAGAATGAGAAAGTGAAACTCTCATATCCGCAAGTAACTAATGTAACCAAATAATCTCTTTAGTAGTGGATATCATAGCACAATATTCTATTTTGGTTGAGGATTGAGAAATAATAGATTATTTTTTGCTATTCCAAGAAATAAGAGAATCACCTAGAAAGATATAGAAACTTGTAACTGATATGTGATATGTGGGATCACTGTCATGATCAACATCAGAGTATGCACATAGCTCCAAGAAAAAGGTGGATAAAAGTAAAATGTTTTGAAAGACTGTACCCTGAAGATATCGCAAAATACGAAGAACAGCTTCCTAGTGAACAATAGTAGAAGAAGCAATAAACTGACTAACAATATGAACAATATATGCAATATCTGAATGAGTAATGTTAAGGTATACCAAGCTCCCAATAATAGTACGATATAAAGTAGGATCTGTCAAAAGTAAATCATCAGAAGAACAATACATTGCGTTAACTTCAATGGGAGTGTCTACAATCTTGTTATCAGTAAGTCTAACCTGCTTAAGAATATATGCAACATATTTTGACTAAGAAAAAAGGTAACCTCTAGGTAAGTAAACTACCTCAATACCTAGGAAATATCAAAAAGAACCCAAATCCTTTATTTCAAACTATCTAGCCAGCTCTGTCTTCAAACCTAAGATACTATTAATGTCATTACCATTAATAATCATGTCATCATCGTATAAAGATAAAATAATATGACCTACATCACTACACTTAATAAAAAGAGCAGAGTCATTGATTGTGCATCAAAAGTGTCATTAAGTCTCTTATTTTACATATGTATTTATTGTTTTTATTTGGTTGTTTTTATAATAATTGATGTGTTTTTTAGTAATGAAGTTTGTTTTAAAGTTTCGATAGGTTTTTGGAGCTTAAATGAATTAATTCAAAAAATTCAACGTCGGAATTCAGAACAAAGAATTGAAGAGACATTTAGTTGAAGATTGAAGCAAATCTTGGTTCAAATAAGTGCTCCAAATTTGTCCCAAAAATCAATTCTATTCCAATTCTAGAAAAGAATATCATATGATTTATTTCAAGCCCAAACTTGCCTTATGTTGTGTGCAAACTTCAACCATTAAACACTCAAGGTTTCAATGTCAATCTTAGCCCAAATAATAAGTACATTTGTATACTTATTTGATGCTCAAATTCAGCCCAAAAATCAGCCCCAAATCAGCCCTAAATCAACCCCAAATCAACCCAAACACAATCCATGATCTTACATGTCCACACAACAAATAACAATTGATTTATTTTGGGCAATCCATTGATCCAAGAAGGCAAGCACATGGATGGAAAGCTGGAGGGGATATTTTGGAAAGATGACAGAATTTCCTATAAATAGCTCTCTAATAGACATCTCGAGAGAAGGCTTCTAAGAGGGTCAAATTGCTGTCCAAAGTTAGA